GTTGATCCTCTAAATATAGGGCTTAGGCCAAATTTTAGTTTGCTAAATATATTGAGCATATGGGTACTTTACAATTTTTTATGTGTTTGGTTAAAGAAATTTTTTACCCGTGAATATTATCTATGATATATTTCAATTAATAAAGTTTAATGTGTTTATTCACATTTTTTTATAGTTATGTGTGTGTACACATAAATGGTAATTGTCATATATGTATACCTCTTATATGAGCTCTTACAGTTATATTTTAATTTTGAGATATAAAGATTAACACTTTGGTTTAGAAGTGCATATGGATCTATAAAGTATGATGCTTGGTTTAAAGCATGAAAGACCTCGGTTTAGAGGAATAAAGGCTTCTTTTGGAAGTGTAAAATGGAATAATATTACTTGCAGGGTCTTGTCAAGACCATACAGAGGACTGAATGTGGAATTAGCATGTTATATAATTTTTGGATCAATCATGCTGAAATTCCACACTACACTTTATCACATATAGGAATCCATGTTGATGAGATATCAGTGTTTGTAATTGTGGAAGGTGTTATGTTGTTCAATAGCATAATTACCGCTACAGTTCGATATTAATATTTCTCATTGAACGAGATTCTGTACTGAGATGTTTCTATTCTGAATCATGTTTACGTGGCCACTAAAGTTGCTTAACCCGAGAGTCATTTTTTCTTAAATAAAATATTCTCTTAAAGTAGTAGTCAATGTTGCCTAAGTGAGAGTATATAAGAATTTATTCTTAATTAGGCTGTCATTGACTATAAAGACGGGTTAAACGTGTTTCAGATAGATTGACTGGTATGAGTCCAAAATTATTATTGTGATCCATAAAGTTTGAGCCATGGTCATCTTAGTGTATATATTATTTTATATGTGGATATGTAATATGGAGGTGTAAGGCCTGTTTTACGTTATTTGGGTTCCTTAATGGGAGGGCCCAGTAATTGTTTTATTTAGGCTCAGTCCCCTCTTCTATCCTTATTAGGGTTTACATATATCTATATATATATATATATATGTAGATCAAATGGTTGTCAGCCCCATTGAAAAGACAACAAAATGATTAGGAGAAGGAGGGGAAGAGCTGGTGCTAAGGTTTTCCAATTGTAAATACCATATTCTTTCTAGGAAGCAAAACTCAAGACAATAACGGAATCAAACGGTATGTATCTGAGTTTATATTTTAATAGTTACTTATATTCATAGTATTTTGATTTCTAATATATAGATCCTATAATCTTACATTTCATACTTGTGGTGTTTGTTTCTCTAATTATAACAGTGTGAATATTTGTTTAATTTATTTAAATTAATAATATTAATAAACTCTAACAGCGCCGAAAAAACTCTAGGCGATAGCCATTCTTAATAGAGACCCGAAGTTGTTGAAAAGCTGCTTCCACTACAAGAATTTACATATTTGCCGACCACTTTTGCCGACCAAAAAAATTTTGGTCGCAAAAAAATGACATTTGCCGACCAAAATATTAATTAGTTGCGAATGATCGTTATTTTTGGCGACCAAAATGAGTTGGTCGCAGAAAGTCACATTTTGGCGACCAAAAATGAGTTAGTCGTAGAAATTGGTTTGCTTTTGGCGACCAACTTCAAATTTGGTCGCGGAAGGTTACATTTTGGCGACCAAAAAAAATTAGTCGCAAAAATTGTATTTTTAGCGACTAATATTTTAGTCGCCGTTGATTGAGATTTGGCGACTAAAAAAGTTTGTCGGTGAAGGTACCTTTTCTGCAACAAATCTGGTCATTTGGTCGCGAAAAGTTTGGGAGGGAAATTTGAAACATGGAGGGGGGAAATGAAAATTTTTTGCGACAAAAAAAAATTTGGTCGCAAAAAAATGACATTTGCCGACCAAATATTAATTAGTCGCGAATGATCATTATCTTTGGCGACCAAATATTATTGGTCGCAGAAGGTTATATTTTGGCAACCAAAAAATATGTTGGTCGCAGAAAGTGGTATACTTTTGCCGACCAATTACAAATTTGGTTGCGGAAGGTCACATATTTTTTGGCGACCAAAAATTTGATCGCCAACCTAGTCAGCCAATATACAAGGGATCGGTTCTCTTCTATCACTTCTGGAGCTTCATTTGGTATGTGCCTATATTGGTTGAGCCTTTCCCACAGAAATTATGTAATTTGCTAGAGTGCACTGGTTTTGAATGGACATAACAAAGGACATGTTCAATAAGAGACCATAGGACAAGGCCATTCCAATAAATCCTGCAAAAATAACCCGAGGTAATGAGAAACATCATATAAAAGAATCAATTGCAGCCATTACATTTATTATTCTATCAATTCATTCCAACAGATTTCAGTTTATAGAGCAGCCACACTAATTTTTTCTTGTTCATATCTATTTTTTTGTCTTTAATATTAGTCTATGACTATCTTTTCCACCTTACTTTCTCTTCTTCCTTCCCCTTATGTCTCAACCTCTACATATCTGTAAATTTGAGATTCAAAATAATAAATAATTTTGATTTGTTGATGCACCCTAATTTGTTTGGGATATAGCAATAATAAGAATAAAGAAAAATTAGATAAATAGCCACCAGAGCTGAAAGTTCCCGAAGGGAGCAAAACCATGCATGATGAGGAGAGAACAACTGCAGTAAGTGTTTCGAGCTGCTGGATCAGCCACTCATTTGCTGCAAAACTGTGGAAAAATGGAGTAGCATTTACATCAATGAGGTCAAGATTCTTGACAAAGAACCGATCTTCCTCCTCAAAAGCTCTTATTGTCATGGATCCTGCTATGACTCAGCAAGATGGTTTGCTACCAAAGACTTGGTTGTGCCATTGAGCTGCATCAAACATAAAATGCTTAAATAGTACGTTACCTTAACCAGGTATTAAGATATTGCTCCAACTCCATCATTATAAATTTATATCCATGGCGAGTCAAAATAGCAAGCCCATAAATCATGTCATGAACTATCCACAATAACATGTTTGATAGAAAAGTTCTGCATAAAATATATAAACTTCTAACAGTTACAAACAGACATTATAAAACCTTATCTTCATTTTGTTGGTTACTCGCAGAATGTGGGCTTCACACACCCATGGAAAAAAAGTGCATGTTTGATGTGTTCCCATGATAAAAACTAAGTGCTTGCTTTTTTCAGTGGATAGTGACAAGGATAAAAAATTCAACATTTTTCACTCAATAAGTTAAAAAATGGTTTATCCCAAGATGTTTAAAGGGCATGAAGGCAGACTTGACAAACACCTTTTTCCTTGCAAGATCAAATTTTTATCTCTGTTTTCTCCTTTTGGGTTTAAGCATAGCATAAATTGAGTTTTCTTGGAATCTTCCTGTTAACAAACCATAGTTCTGTTTTTCCTCCATTCTGCATCACTTGAAGAAGATTAATCTTTCTTGAATTCTTCAGTTATCAAACAATAGTTATGTTTTCCTCCATTCTACATATCTTGCCCATACTTCTCCATTTGTTATCTTCTCTTTCTTAAAAATTTTATCAATCATCAAAAAGAAATCAATTCATTTTTAAGCTGTTCCCAGCAATTATTCATGACATTTTTCGGAACCATCCTAACAGTTTCAAAGAAACTCCCTATTTTCTTCATGCTAACTATCATGATCACTACCCAAGCCTTCATCCAGCTAAATAAACTAACCTTGGGAGCGAGTTAACATCAACATAAAAATGAAGCAACAGTTATTAATAAATTATTCTCATTCAAAAGAGATACCTTTAATGTCCTAATGCATCATGTGACCAAGAATACTCATTAGCTGATTAACCAGCTCCTTCGATATTTTTCCATCGCTTGCCTGCTGCAATCACCAGACAATATATATGAATTAATTTCTATTAGATTATTTTTTCAACCACATTAAGTTTTGCTCATTTCCTTTGTGATTTTTCTTTTAAAATTCTTTCTTTTAGAGTAATTTATTTCAAAACCAATGAACTTATTTATAAATAGTAGAATAAGTTGAAGAAATATGCAAAACCCCAAACTAATTTCTAAATCAATAGACGAACTTACTAAACAAACTGATGTAATCTGAAAAATGAAAATTTTGAATCCAATAGCCCTTTTTTCATTTCTTCTACTGAAATTGCTATGAAATTAATGGCTAATTCATTCCAATAGCCATTCATTTTTTTTTTCTTGAAATTAGCTTGAAAATGAAAATTTTGAATCCAATAGCAATTCCAAGGTTCATTTTTTTTTTTTTGGTAATGCTGAACAAACAAATTTAAAAACAAATTGATATAGGTAATGAGTTGTTCCTATTATGTATTTAATTCAATAGATCCTATTTCAAGTTTCAAATCTTCACTTTTGTAAGAAAAATTCTGTTTGTATATCATCTTCTCATAAACCAAACAGACAACTGTATACAGACTAACCTGATCACTCCAAAATGCTCGATCGCACAAACTGGAACCCAAGCCATCGATCAAACTATCTCACCCCTCGAATTTGACCCGATTGAATTCTCCTT